TATCACTGGATGGATTGCGAGTGGGCGCGTACGACCGCCGTACCAAGTGATTTCAAGCGTTGACAGCAGTGGCACAAGGTAGGCTACCCTCATCGTCGACGGCTCCCACCATTCGCGGGGCATCACCGGCTTCGCATCTTGTTTGGGTCGATTATGGCGCCCAAGACCAAGCTCCTGTGTAAACAGGTTGTGTGGAGGTGGACGGAGGCTCCAAACATTGCGTTCGAGCGCAATCACGTATTGACTCAAAAATCGGTGTTGGCTTATTTTGACTTCCTGTTGCCGTTCCGACTCGTCACTGATGCCAGTAGGGTCAGGCTGGGAGTGTGTTTCTGCAAAATCAGGGTATTGTTTGGCAACTTATAGCTTACGCGAGTAAAGGGAACAGCCCAACTCCATCGCGCTACGGAATTACAAAACTGGAGTGGTTAGCAGTCGTGAGGTCGATTAGGCGGCCGGCTATTCTACCTAAGTGGAGGTCCTTCCGTCCGCGGCTAGGGTAGACCGATCTACTATTTTAACCGATAACCGGTACTAAAATGCCTCTTGGCTAGCTCTAATTCGTAGCGTACATGACCACCGGGGGCAATGTACTGGCGGATGCATTATCGATAGCCCCATTGAGAGTGTTAACGACAGCAGGGTAACGACGACCACGAAGACACATTGCCGTTATTAGGGCTGGTGATGAGGTGGCGCGGCCTGAGCGAGGAGACGAAGAAGCAGCTCGGCCAAGGACGACAGGGCCGTCCGTGTTGAGTATTTCAGCATGTGTGGGGAGTCGTAGATGCGACAAGTGATATGGCATGAGGAAGGTGATACGCCAAGCCAGATCTGGATGAAAAGAAAAAGATTGCACAAGCGGCCGGCTGGGAAACCAACCGACACGACGGACGGCAGGTCACCACAGCTAACTGCATCAAGAATCAAAAAGCGTATGGGATGCGGTGGCGAGAGCGGCACAGCTGCAACTTCGCCCAAGAACAACAATGAAGAACCAGTTGTGTAGCCATTGATGCGAGCATCCAAGCGACGAGCGGAGGCGGCTCAGACAACATAAGTGGAATCGATGAGACGGCGAATACGACGGGGGAGACGCTAGTGTCAAATGAAACAACGGACGACGCCACCAGCTCCTCTTGTGAATAGTGTTGGTTTTGTTCGCAATTAAAATCGATTTTTGTCGACAAAATTAAAATAAAATCGAATTTATTTGCGAACAAAACACACGGAATCACCCCGAACGTCGACATCACACAGTGGAATCCGCACTTCATCTGGGCGGTGATGTCGTGGGGGCCACCTCCAAGCGGCGTCGGCTTTACAAGCCAAGCGCATGAAAGAAGGCATTCAAGAAGAAAATCGTGAAGAAGCATCGTGCATCCTCGGATTCTGTCTCCGCGCCCAGCACCTTCCGGTCTCTGGTTTGTGCGACGGTTTAGCAGTCGCCTGTCCATCTTGCTGGACCGTCGACCCCTATCCAGTGGCTGCCAACGAGGTGTCGCCGGACTTGCATATGCGACGTTGACAAACGGAATTGTCGGCCGATGATTCGTCCGATGAATAGCTGGAGCTGAATCGTCGCCGAATGCGTACGCGCTTGTTTGGATTTGTGGTGGGTGCACGGCTTTCGCCATGTTGGCGTCGAGAGGGGTGGTGGCATCGGACGCCGCCTCGAGTTTCTGAAGTTGGCAAAGGCATCGGTGGCGGACTTGTCGAGCTCCAGAAGTAAGAGATCGATGTCACCTGCTACGATTCCTGTAAGAACAAATCATCGTCAATGGTTAGGACATGTCAAGCTCAGTGAGGAAAGCACAAGGGAGCGCATGACGAAACTTTGGTGGCCAGCACCAGAGTGTCGGCATCCAGTGCTGGAAGGGTGACTTGCTGACGGATTATTTAGCTCGCGCGAGCATCAGATGCCCGACCCGGTCGTGTTGCAAGCAACCTTTTTCACAGAGCTTGGCCGGCTGAAGAACCCCAATGAGCCAGGTCCGACAGTAGGCGATGAAGCTTGTGCAACTGGGAAGTGTTGGCTGCTTTTTCGATCTTGAAAGATCCGCGCTCGCGCGCAATCTGTTTTCGAAGCATTGCATTTTCGTCTTTGAAAGGGTAGATGAATTTTTAAAGTCTCACCGTGCGCTCAATGTTGGCGTTGATCATCGCTTGCGCCTCTACTAACTTCCGGAGGGTCGCAGTGTCACATACCTGCGCTCCCTTGAGCTCCAATTTTAACGTGTCGAGCTCAGCGGTGCCCTGATGAGCGAACAACTCGAAATTAGTCTCTCCCCAGTGAATAACTTGTTTTCCAAGGACTGACGAGCGAACTCAATCTTGTCATCCGAAAATCTTCCGAGTCCAGCCGTGACGAATGAACAGTCCCACCGAATGATTGCACGGATAGGATATCATGTTGTACGGATGAATGTGAATCGTCGTCAGCCAACAGTAGCACCACGGCTCAGCAGCATCCAGAGCGGTGACAGAAGTATTTCAACTCTCGCCTGTATGTACTCAAAGTAGCCGCTTCTGAGACATTATCGGGACGGACGGTTCGTATACAAGCTCAGGGGAAAGGGCGTCCTGCTCGTCCACCTGCCATTTACCATGGAATTTGCGCTTGTAGCGGATCCAGATTACGTTGGCTCATTGCTTGCTACGCTGAAGTCGACATCCCATGCTTCGAGGATTGCCTTGGCCACCTCTGAGCTGAGCGATGTGTTTAAAGCATCGCCCGGATCAAGGTTTGCACCGCACGCTGAGATACCCCGTTGTGACCCTCCCACAAAACGATAGCCAGCACAAGCGTCCTCGTAAGTCCGCGAAAGCTCCGCCAAGGGAGAAAATACCGTAGGACCATTGGGGTACGGCAGGAGATGAATGTGTCGACAGATACTATTGCGATATCGAAGAGACGAAGTTGGTTCGGCATCTGTTCGAATATATGCATAAAAAGTAAGTGAGGAGGCTCGCTGAAGCTGCCGAGCGTGATGATGTCCTCGACTTTGCAAGGGGGCGACAGCGTCCTCCCTCCCCTCTGATTGTAGTAGGTACGCGGGGCGCTGGGTGATTAATTATCTAGCATTCTCTGGTCTCGCTTCGCTTGTAAAAATCTAAATAAATCTAATGATTTGGCGTCCACTACCCCC